ATATATATAATATATATATGGGAAAACGAGGTAGGGCAGCACCTGAAAGTTGCAGTAACACAGTCAGCAGTCACACCAGAGAACAAAATGCTGACAGCTGATGGCAGTGTAAATGCTATACCAATGCATACAGGTTTACTGCATACGCCAAAAGGGAGCTGGCGTAGGCTTCCCTGTGAGTTTGCATCGCAAAAGAACTTGCGAGGCTGTCTCCCTCACGCGACCCCGGTTACCGTTGATCAGGTCTTTATTTTGGACTAACACCATCCAGATGTTTTGATGAACCATAGGTTGTTGTGTAGAGATTCATCGAATAATCATATTTCATCTCCTATGCTTGAACAGCACCAATAAGGATAGCGTCTTGTCCTCTGCTCGATTCTGGTGCGAATTCATGAAGCTGGTCAGCCTTGATCACAAACCGATCCATGCAGACATACCAGAGGCACAATATAAAAACCCGGTGGCAGCGTTTGCTAGAGATATTTCCTCCTGGACGTCTACAGGCCATCCTTGATTCGTCGGAAAGTACTGCAGGGATCAGCATGAACAATGCAGCTCAAGGTGCAAACTCGTCTAACTTTTCGTTAATATAAAAGGCTTAGCAACCAAGGAGGCAGCACAAGTTGGCTCTGTTGGGGCCTTGGTGTGCCTTCTGTTTCTTTACCGTGTACTACTGTATCTACTCTGCTTGTTTGACAGACGCTTGCTCTTGCCAGAGTACGTATTCTCAAACCTGCATACATAAGTTTTTGGACACCCTGGGACATCTTCCACTGTCACCACGACACGTAGTGCCTGCACGGAAGCCATCATAACTTTCTCTGCTCGACTTATGCCAACATTTATTGTAGAGGCAAACCCAGCAGGCACAATAAGTATCAGCAGCCAACAGTATGACAGACCACATTACCGTGGACTTCAACATACTCTGCACACCCAAAAGAAGCCGTCTGCGCAACAACACCAGGTTTCCAGAAGCTTCCGCACGCAACTCATCTTCTAAATACAAGAGGGGATGTTGCAGAGAAACGAAATGAGAGGGGCCGCAGCAGCAGCCGAAGGCTGCCTGGGCTGATAAGCAGCAGGAACACCTTAGAAGCCAACACAGTAATATTCAGGGCCGACTTATGTATTCGGAGATGTATGCACTTTGTGCGAGGGTAGGCGGGGTTCAGATGTAGTTTATTCTTTTCAATGTTTGAAGGTGAACATGTATGCATGCACCTGGCAGGTAGACAAACGGTACGCAAGCAGAAGTTCTCAACAACCGCCTACAATGTCTGTACATACAGCCAAGAAGGGCTGGTTGCCCTTGTATGTGGAGTTCTCCTGCACCATGGGTTGCCACAAGGCGCGTTACAACACATGGTAATCCGCTCCCTCTCCCGCATCTCCAGGCGCTTGAGTGGCTGACCGTAGAACACCTGAGAACTGGGGATGGAGGTCAGTTGGTTTTAAGTAACTTTTATATTTTGTTTCAACTGCAGCAAAGAATAGTCCTTGTATTAGATCCACACGACCCGTGTTCTTACAGATACGCTGTACTGTGGCCAGGCTTCCGCTAGAATCAGAGGGAAGTTCCTTCGGATCTATTGCTGTTTTAGAAATTAAGTAATTAAAACCGCGAGATCAGTAATAAGCTAGATTGTGGTGTACATAAAGGCAGCTGATGACCTGCAGCAGCAGCAGCAGCGCATGCAGCTGCCCCAGGCGGGAGAGGGGAGGGGGCTGCTACTGCAGGAGTAGTGGATTTCTCCTTCTGCAGCGGACACCTTCAGCACTTCCTGTTCTTATTTTCTGTTGGAGAAAGCATAAATGCACATTTGGAGACTCTGTGCATCAGCAGCTGTCTGTACAGCAGAGGGGCAACCCCCCATTTATCTGCCCCTCCCTGCGGACCCCTAAGACGGCTCTTCTTGCAGCTCAAGGGGGCGTCGCTGCGGCGGCGCAGCTTCTTTTTGTTGGTTCCTATTGCGTTTTGCTGCTCATTGCATGCACTGGGGACCGCGGCACCAGCAGCAGCAGCAGCAGCACCTAACACCAGCCGCGCGTGGGTGGGCCCATGGCCTCGTTGCTCTTTGTCTGAGGCTCTACTGAGGCAGGTGCTGGCGTCTCGGATCCGAAGCAGATCGTGCCGCTGCAGTTTTAGCGTAGCAGTAGCAACAGCAGCAGCAGCAGCAGCAACGGCAGCAGCAGCCGCTGCAGCAGCAGCAGCAAGTGTTGGGTAACCGTATGCTTCTACTCTTGCTGCTGTTTTACAATGAGCGAATCAGAGGGGCAGCAGCGCATGTCGCTGCTCGTTAGAAACCTCAGCTATCAAACAAGTCCTGAGGTGCGTTTTTTGCTTAAATTCCCCCATTTCTTCTCTTTTCCTTCTTTTTACCTTTTTTGCTCTTAACGTAACCTTCGCCTTCTCCCCTCTTCGTGCAGACCGCAGCACCTGTTTCTTTTGTGTGAATTGGTATTTAATGCCGTAATGAGAGACAGCAAATACTCTATACTCAATTAAAGTAGCAACGAAACAGAAGGAATTAGCAATAATGAACAAAACAGCAGAAGCATAGGAAGCAAAAAGCAAGAGAAGAGTTATAAATAGAGAGGAAAATTCCTTGCAAAACATCAATCCCCCCTCCCAAAGAAGTGCATGGACAACGAAATGCATGCTGTGAATCAACCGTTTTTTCTTCGCTTTTTTTTGTCCCTTTTACCTCTTGTGTACTGCGGTGAAGAGGATTCATGAGTTGAAAGAGTAGCAACATATGCATTTAATAATCTACTGTATAGCAGCTGCTTCAGTTTCTCCTTGCGCTGCTTTGCCTGCTGCTGCTGCTGCCTCCATTCCTGCCACCGCTCCTGCTTTGCAACTCTTACTGCTGCTGCTGCGTTTAACTTCTGTTGGTGCTGTTGCAACGCCTGTGTTATCGTTTTCTTGCAGCTTCTGCTGCTGTTCCTTTTTCACCTCCTGTTCCTGCGTATACAACCCTTTTGCATATCCTCTGCTACTGCCTTTGCTGCTGCTGCTCTTGGTGCTGCTGCTGCAGGCGGTGCGCAGTGCGTTCGCCGTGCACGGCTCTGTAAAGGACGTATATCTTCCATTGGATTATCACAGCCGAATGCCTCGAGGTTTTGGATTTGTTGAATTTTGGCATCGCGCAGATGCAGAAAGAGCGCTCGAAAAAATGGACGGATTTGAACTCGATGGGAAAGCTATTGAAGTGGCTATTGCAAAAAAAGGAAGATCCGCACCGCAGCAAATGGTGCGGTACCTCCAGCTGCTGTTGTTGCTGTTGCTTATGCTATTGATGCCGCTGATGTTGCTTGGAGGATTCCAGGCTCTGCAGCTGGTGGTGGTGTTGCTGTTGCTGCATCAATGCTTCCCGGTTATGCCGCTGCTGCACCGTCTCCGGCTTGTGCCTCTGCAGATGATGATAATGCTTATAGACTGCTTGTGGTCTTCGCTGTTGCTACTCTGGTGACTATCGCTTAACACTGCTGTTGCTGCTGCAATTATGGCTGCTGCTGCTGTGTGTGTATTAGTTGGTGTGGCTGTCTCTAACTCGGGGTGTCATTGCTGCAGAAACAGAGAGATGAAAGAGTAAGGAGAGAAGCATCCCCAAGGGGGCGTCGCTATGACGATGACCGCAGATACTCGCGCATGGACTCCCCGTACGTCTAGGGTTTAGGGCTTAAGGTGTGGGGTAGTCAGCATTGTTGGGAGATGTTGAGGATGCTTAGCCAAAAGTGCTGAGGACATATTGTAGATTTTGGGGTTGTTGAAGTGCATTATAAGGCTGTCTTCCCGAGAGTTTACGGTTTAGGGTTTAGGGTTTGGCGTTTGTGTGTCTGCAGTCCACGTCGTGGGAGATACGGTAGCAGGGAGAGAGGAGGCCGCGACTTTAGAGATAGAGGCGGTTGGTGGGGGGCATATGATAGAAGAGACAGAGAAAGAGACAGAGAAAGAGACAGAGACAGAGACAGAGATGACAGTGGATACTGCTACAGAGGTGGCTCTTACAGGGATGACTACAGAGAGTCTCGCAGACGCGGGTATGCTGTTGATGCTGTTTGTGTTGGTTGTGGGGCGCGTTTTGCTGTCCCTACTGCTGTTTGTTGTGGGGCTTGTGTTGCAGTTGCTGCCTTGGTAGCAACAGCAGCAGGGAATGGATTGCAGATGGGGATTTTGCTGGATATGCAGTAGCTTGCTTCTGTTCTTATCTTGCAGTTACTGATGCTTCTGTGTTGCTGCTGTTGCTTGTTGGTGCTGCAGCAGGAGCCGCAGCAGGAGCCGCAGCCGTACTCGTTCGCCGCGGCGTTCTCCTTCTTACAGCGGGGACTCACGTTAGTATTGAAGAGGCGATTGCGGAGCTGTGCTGCATGCTGCCTCTTGGATAAAGTTCCTAGCTGGAAACAGCAGCAGCAGCGCTCGCTGCTGCTGCAGCTGCGGCTGCTGCTGCCGCTGCTGCCACTTATGCAGCCCTTGGCTGGCCTCGAAACCTAGACCGTATTAGGACAAAGAAGATCGCTAGGACAAAGGAAGGAGATAAATAGTACTCGTTACGTACTTGCCCCGTTGAAGTGTGCAAGAGGCCCCTAGGGCCTGGGGAATACCGGCTTGGGGAGAGGGAAGCTGCTGCTGCAACAGCAACAGCAACAGCAGCAGCAGCAGCAGCAGCAGCTCGAATACGCCCTTTTTGCTGCCGCTGCTACGGAGTTTGGATACACTGAAGGGACTCCGCAGTAGAAACGAAGCAAGAGTGATGCAAAGACCTGCCAAGACAGCTTCTGCTGCAGTCCGTTGTTGCTGCTGTTGCCACCGCTGCCGCATTACCCAGACGCTGCGGCTGCTGCAGCAGCAGCAACAGCAGCAATTTGTGGGGTATGAGGAGCACGGTTCTCTAAGCGTAGTTCTTGTTTGACTGCGGCGGCGGCGCCAACAGGGGGACTGCAGCAGTTGCTGTTGCTTTTGCTGCTGCTGCTGCTGCTGCTGCATAGGGTTCGAGTGAAACAGTTGCTGAGGGGAAGGCTCTTTGGGTGTTGTTGTTCTGTTGCGTCGCTCTAGCCCTTTTAACTGGGTAGCTGGTGATGCGGCCAGCTAGCCACGTGGCTAGCTAGCTAGCTAGCGATGGACCTGCGGGGGATAGTGCTTCTTTTCCCTGTCAGCGCGCATTCTTTTGCCTGTTTCCCTCTCGGCGTTTTTAATTTGTTTTTGTGGCGGAGTCAATGAACAGCCGGAGACCGCTTGGGTCCGCTTCATATATCAACCTTGCTGGTAGCTAGCTAGCTGGCTAGCCAGTGTCTCCCAGCTAGCTGGCTTCCTAGCTTGCTAGCTGGCTAGCTAGCTAGCTAGCGCCTCTCAGCTAGCTGGCTAGCTGGGAGGGTCGCAGGGAGTGTCCCCGTTCAGCATTCTGGTGTATGTACACCTGCAAAAAACTGCACTGCAACCGCTACCTGTTAAATTGCCGGGTCTTTTGGGCCCTGCTAGACAAGTCGAACAAAGAAGGGGAGGCAGTCTGGGGTTCAGTGTTTGTAGAGGGTCAAGCAACAGATGTTGTTCAGTTTAACACCAGCAACATGCAAGTCTCTGTATTGGGTATCCGCAGCGCACCATTCTGTGTGCATACACATTGTTTATCCTACTGTCGCTTCCCCATCTGCTCTCTGTTACTGTTGCTACCACCTTTGCTCTATTTGTCTTAGCTAGGCAGTTAAAAACGTGCAAATAACTATTTGTGGTGACTTGCACTTCGACTCAACAACCAGCTGCCTAAACCCTCGCCATCCCCCCCTTCCACGTAAGCGCGAAAGGAAGAATCGATGATAATGGCTTTAAGGACAATAAACAAGGGACCAACTCTACGTCCTCAAGTCTGATTTCTCTTCTTATCCTTTACTGAGCCCATGTTAAGTTTTTGTGTCTTGTATTCTTTACCATGTTAAGCAGTGACTAAAACAGTCTACGAAAACCCCTAAAGTGTTTACCTAACAGGTCCTTCCGGCGGTGCGCAAACACACATCAGCCGGTTGAGTGTGCATAGAAACAACGATGATGCAATTCATCTGAAGTGAGCTGAAATCAATTTCTTTCCTTTGAAACAATTGTAGAGTTTGGTGTTGCTGCTGTGCTTCTGCGTACGGTACACGCTGCCGTATGTGACCACCCGAGCGCCATATCTGCAAAACGCTGAATTTAGTGCGAGTAAAGCAAAGCGCATCCTTCTCTTTCTTTATGTGATGATGCGGAAGGTATGCGCCGAGGCTTTCCCGATAAGGCTCCAGGACTGTAGAGGGTTTGTATCCAAAGAATTTCTAACGGTGAAGAGATGAATGTTAATTGATTGAATTTAATTGATTGAATATATTAAGAAATTCGTTTTCTACATTTGTTGGTGCTTCTTCTGCTGCTCCCTCTGGTAGTTGCTGGAGTCGCACGAGAGCCTTGCGCCGTTGTCACAGAGGGGACGCCTCCTTATCTCGTCTTTTGCAGCTTCCTTCTCTCTCTTTCCTTTTCCCCTTCGAAGGTTTTTTGCGGACGCTGTGTGCACTGCAACTCCAGACAACAGTGCGTGCGTTGCTGGGGCCCCAGGGGCCCTCAAACCAGAGCAGAGGGGCCCCCAGCGGAAGGCTGACTGTTGCATGCACACGAAGGAAAACAAAAACCTCAAAAATTACCCACCCATTTTCGACTCAAATAATTGAAACGAGCTGACTCGGGGAGGTGCATCGGCCAGGGATGGGCGCCAGCTGCAGCGACTGGGGAATGAGCAACAGCAGCAGTAACTGCGACAGCAGCAGCAGACAACACAAAAACCGAGGCAGCAAAGGCAAGGTACCCTTCTTTGCCTTGTCATTGACAGCATCTGCTACATCCCTCTTGTCAACGCCAACAGCAACAGCTGCATCGGGAGCAGCAGGAGCAGGAGCAGCAACAGCAACAACACCAGTTTCAACTGCAGCAGCACCAACAAGAACGGCAGCACCAACAGCAACGAGAACGGCAGCACCGGCAGGGGCTACACCAGGAGCAAGGGCAGTAACAGCAGCGACGCCAGCAGAAACAGCAGCATTAGCCGCAGTGGCAGGAACGACTGTATCATCGGCAGAAGTGGCAGTAACCGCAGCAACAACGAAGACAGTGGCAGCAACAGCAGTAGCTACACCAGCAGTAAGAGCTGCAGGAACGACTGTAGCATCGGCAAAAGTGGCAGTAACAGCAGCAACAACGAAGACAGGCGCAGCAACAGCAGTAGCTACACCAGCAGTTATAGCTGCAGCCAGAATAGTAACAGCAACAACAGTATCAGCAACAGCATTAGCAGCATTAGCAGCATTAGCAGCAGCAGCAATAACGGTAGCGACTAGGTTGAGAAAGAATGGCATCTCCTCTGGTCATGAGGGATTTGACTCCCCTCTTCTTCCGCTTTAAAGCAGAGGCAAAGGAAAAACGGCTGCGTTTCAGCAAGCCCACAGTCTGCCTCCCCAGTCCCACAAACAGAAATGCCACTAGTGAGCAGCAGCAGCGGCAGCAGCAGTAAGAGCAGCAGTAGTAGCAGCAGAAGCGGCGGCGGCAGCAGCTGAATCAGGAGCCGCAGCAGCAGCATAATAGCAACGGGTGGTGCTAGTTAATTTGTCTATTATGTGGTGCGTGATTTGTGATGCTGCTGAAGGACAACAACGGCTGCTGTCTTTTCAAGCAGAAGATGAGGAGATGGGGGTCCCTACCCATCAGCTACCCCCACGTTGGGTCCGTTCTTACCCTCCTAAACCCTTCTAGCAGTTGCGATGAGGTAGTACGGTTGAGGGTTGAGGGTTTGGGTTTGTATTGTGAGGCTTTAGATATTGGGGCTATGGGTTGGTGCTGCAGGTGGATGCCCTTGAAGAGCTGCACGACGACCTTGCGCACATCAAGGAAAGGAGTCCGTTGGGGGGTGTAGGGTTTATTGTTTACGAGTTAGGGTGATGCTGCGGTATACCGTGTACCTGCACAAGAAGTTGCTGGTCTGCACACGAGGAGCTGCTTGTTTTGGTCTCCGTTTAGAAATGGCTGTTGCTGTTCTTTTCATTGTTGTTACTGTTGGTGCTTCTGGGGCGACTGCTCTTGTTGGTGGTGCTGCGGCTGTTGTTATTGACGCTGCTACTGCAGCTGCTATTGCTGCTGCTACTGCTGTTCTTGTTTCTGCCGTTCATGTAGAATGGAAGCTGCTGCTGTGGCGTGGTTTTAGGGTTAGGGTTTAGGGTTTAGGTTTGCATGCAGTGGGTCAGCTGCAGAAGGTGCAGCAACGGCGACTGCTGCAAGTCTTTGGGGATTCTTATGGCGAGACAGCCATAGGCCGCGAGATCGACACGCTTACTGCCGGCATAACTCAGGCAAGCATCTTTTTTGTCTTGTCGTTCGTTCGTATTGTTGTTTTCTGTATTTTTTATTGCTGGTTTGCTTTTGTTTGCTACCCGTGTGTGTTCATCTGTTTATGATTCGCTGTTTGTTCTTACTTGCTTGATGCTGTTGTTGTTTGCCGCTGCTCCTCTGCTGCGCGTTGTCTGTTATTCCTTGCTATTTGGCTGTTGTGTGTTGTTCGGGTGTTAACAAACGACAAACAATATGCAAGCAAGATGCAACAACACCAGCCCGGCCCTCGCCAACCGCGTATGCATGCGTCTCTGTGTGTTTCTTGTTACTTCAGCTGTTCCATCGCAGCGACTTGAAGCTGCAAAAGTTGTGTCCACCTGGGGCTGCCCAGAGCTCCTCCACGGAGACGCGCATGCAGCAGAATGCTCAAAAGGCTGTCGCTGCCCAGCTGCATAGTCTTAACCAGGCCTTTAGGCAGCAGCAGAAGGCCTACTTAGAAGGCAAGAATGTTGCTAAGAGGCAGATATACACAAGCAATAGATAGACTCAAGCAAGCAAACGGGATATATATCGAACCATATATAGATCGAAACACCGCAGCTATGCACACGCTACCCCATATATTTAAATCAAGTGTACTACATCGAGGTTTTATGAAAAAGAAGCGCTGTTCACACGGGCGGACTGTGCATGGCTGAGCCCTTAGGCTCACGGTTAAGCGCTTAGGGCTCAGCGTTTGTCTGCAGAGATTCGGCGGCGGGTTCACGACGACGATCTGCTCCCCGATGCGCGCGACTCGACTGCTCCCTCCCTTTCAGCTCAACGAGTGTGCCATTTGTTTTTAACTACTTTTTCCTGTTCTTTTTGCCGTTTTCTGCTTGCTGTCTGCGTTCTCTTTTCCTTCTTTTGCGTATTTGTGCCCTTGGCTACTTCGTTGCTGCTGAGAGAAGCCCTGCAGGACCACTTGAAGACGGTTGTCTGCCGTTTGCCTGGTCCTCCCTGTCTATCCCCGGTGCATCGTTTCTGTCTCTTTATCTTCCTTTCGACTTATTCCTCCTTGTGTGGATGTGTGCTGTTTGTGCTGGGGTGTCTGCATGAGCGTTGGTAGCAGCTGTTTCTGTCGTCAGCTGTCAATGCTGCTCCTGCTACAGTTCCAGTGTTGCAACATCTGCTGTTGCTTCAGTTTGCTGTGCTTTCGGTGCTGCTGTTGCAACGTTGTGGGTGGCTACATTTGCTATCCACGGTGGAAGTGTTGCCTCAGTGCGTCTGTCTTCGCTGCTGCTCTCTTCTGCTGCTTCCAGTTATTTGCTGTCTCTCTTGCATGGACTGTCCCCGTCATTTCTTATGTCTCTGAGTGCTGCAGGGCTTTAGTGAAGACCTGATGGCGGACTTAGAGGCCGTTGAGTGTGACACAGAGGCCCGAAGGGAGGTAAGGAGGCACTAGGAGGCCTCCTAATGGCTGCGTCGCCTTGGGGTGCTCTTGTCTCCCTCGCTTCTTTTTCCGGCTGTGTGAAGTCTCTCCGTCACTCTCTTTATGTGTTTTGTTTTTGAATCTGTCCTGTTGTTGCCTTTTAGGAAATTGCTAAGGTGGCTCAGTCTATGGCGGACCTTCATCAGCTCTTCAAAGACAGCGCCACTTTAGTTCTGGAACAGGTGGGTGCCTTTGTTCTATTCAGCCGTGGCATTGAACTGATGCGTCCATGCGTGCATGAACGCAAGCTGTAAGGAGGGGGATTCTGTCTGTTGCTAGCTGATGTGCGGATATCTGCGCCTTCTGTTTTAGTGTGATCCACTGGTTGTTCTTCTGTCTTCGCCGACTTTCTGCCTCTGGCTCTCCTTGGGGCCCTGCAAGCAATCCTGTGGTCGCTGCCCTCAGCGAGTTCATAGCCCGCCGCAGGCAGAAGTGTCTCCTTTTCCTGCTTTTTGTCCCCTTTTTCGCCTCCGCACAGGGCACCTTGCTGGACCGTATTGATTACAACTTAGAACAGGTGGCCCATCAGTCTTCTGAGGCAACCAGCCAAATTCGGAGAGCTGAACAGAGTAGACGAAGCGGCTTGGCTGCCAAATGCATCTTCTTTCTCTCGATCACAATCTTTGTCTTGGTGAGTATAACTCGTAATAACGGAATACGTATGATCACCGTGTATATAATAGCCAAGTTTAAAATACTTGCCACTGTATACATGATATCTATTGCCTAATTATAAATAACCCAGTTGTAGGGTACTATCCCCACAGTACATATATGTACGGCTCTCAGTAGCGAAGCACTATGCATCCTTCTGAATAGTCAAGCCTTATGTATACAGAATAGCAGCTAGAGTTTTATGTGTAGCCAAATGTACGTATTGTGCGTGTATCTATATATTTCGATGTGTATAAGCCTTTAAATGGCCCAAAAGGTATACAACTCTGGGTTAGAAAGTAAATATATATATATATATATATATATA